CAACTGACACATAGCAACCCTGATTCCCACCAGGCAACCGAGGTGAACCCAAAACCCTTTCAGCTGCTATGTCGACAGATTCATTTGCAAATCAAAGCATTTTGCAATAACATATCAGCTACTGTTGTGCAGGCATGAATTGACCAATTAAAACAGAGGTCGTGGTAGGCCTCAGGAAGAGTAACACTGATAAACTATAGAACATTACAAACATGCCAGACCTGCAATGACTATTATCGGATAAGCGTGTAGGTCTCTTTAGGTTTATAACATTGACAGTGTGTAAAAGAGGCTCTACTGATATGTGAATAACAGAGGAAACTGTTTTATTGCAGTTTGAGGGACTGTAACCTTGGCTCTGGTCTCAGACACAGGCCGATACTGCTGTACAACAGCATTGTCCGTTCCAGTGTAAGGAAAGTGAGCGGAAGGGTGCGATCCCTGTCCTGCTGTGCAACTTTCCAGATGTTACTCAAAGGATATGATTTCATTCTTGCAGTGTTATCTGCACAAGCAAAACAGTCTGTGGGTCAACACAGTAAGACAAGACCCCTGTGAATCCGACACACAATACTGAGACATCCCGCAAGCAGTGCACACCCATAATGCAATACACAGACTCGCACAAGATCTGCTGCTCTAGCCAGTCAATAATGACCGGCTTACTCTACACTGTTACATCGCAACTCGCCATTCATATTTAAAACGTATTTTTTAACAGTCACAAAGAAAGTTTCAAAACATAAGTAGGACATACTATACATTATTCGATTTCGGATGCAGTGTACATTGGAGAGGGACCTTTTTTTAGGGTCGGTAATGGTCTTTTTCTATTTAAAGGATTTAAATAATTAAATGGTTTAAAGTGATTTAAGGGAATAAAGAATTAAACAGAAGAATAGTGAAAGAACAATAATTTGTTCTAATCCATTTGAACTATTTGCACTATTTTGCACACATTTACTCTTATTCGTATGCCTGATATGTCGAAAATGTGAAATGTTTCTTGTCACGTTACAATCAGTTATGAATTAAATAAATGGCTTAAAACTTTTTATGTTTTTTGGCCATTCATTTACAGTTTTGGGGGCCTAAAAAGTGCACATTTTGAAAATGGGTTTCAAAGTGCATTTTTGTGAAACCAATGCCATTATCATCTCTGTGTAAACTACAAAAACTCAAATTTGTGAAAATGGTGACGTCGTGTGCATATGTATTACATGTTCAGTCTTTAGGTACCTGTTTCTTTAAAAAGTGACATCGCCAACTACTGGCCTGGAATGCATAATATAGCATTTTTAGTTGTTTTCGCAGATCCGTGGATCATTCTCATAATGTTGTCGTCTGTACGTGAAACTTTTCAAAAATGCAAAGGAAAAACATTTCTGTTTTTAGTTGCCTATATCATTGTTGTCATGTATTCATACCCCCCAGTTCCTGGAGAGCCACTGTTCTGCAGAGTTTTGTCATAATTTGAGAGGACAACACCTGATGTTCTATTCAGAGCTGTTTGTGTCCTCTGTCTCAGAATTATGTTTCTATGGCAGTACTATCAAACACACACACGCACACTAAAAATTACAAAAATTACAACAAACTTTATATATAAAAAGAATATATATTTACTAATATAATAATTATATATATAATGGGATATATAAAAATAAAATCTAATTCAAAATATTAACAAAAGCTATAATAATATATCAATGATACTAAAATAAAAAAATGTGTGAGTGTGTGTGTAAGTGTGTGTGTGTATGATAGGGTGTGAGTGTGTGAATGATAGTGTGTGAGTGTGTGTATGATAGTGTGTGAGTGAGTGCGAGTGTGTGTGTGTGTGTGTGTGTGTATGATAGTGTGTAAGGGTGTGTATGATAGTGTGTGAGTGAGTGCGAGTGTGTGTGTGTGTGTGTGTGTGTATGATAGTGTGTAAGGGTGTGTATGATAGTGTGTGAGTGAGTGCGAGTGTGTGTGTGTGTGTGTGTGTGTATGATAGTGTGTAAGGGTGTGTATGATAGTGTGTGAGTGAGTGCGAGTGTGTGTGTGTGTGTGTGTGTGTATGATAGTGTGTAAGGGTGTGTATGATAGTGTGTGAGTGAGTGCGAGTGTGTGTGTGTGTGTGTGTGTGTATGATAGTGTGTAAGGGTGTGTATGATAGTGTGTGAGTGAGTGCGAGTGTGTGTGTGTGTGTGTGTGTGTATGATAGTGTGTAAGGGTGTGTATGATAGTGTGTGAGTGAGTGCGAGTGTGTGTGTGTGTGTGTGTGTGTATGATAGTGTGTAAGGGTGTGTATGATAGTGTGTGAGTGAGTGCGAGTGTGTGTGTGTGTGTGTGTGTGTATGATAGTGTGTAAGGGTGTGTATGATAGTGTGTGAGTGAGTGCGAGTGTGTGTGTGTGTGTGTGTGTGTATGATAGTGTGTAAGGGTGTGTATGATAGTGTGTGAGTGAGTGCGAGTGTGTGTGTGTGTGTGTGTGTGTATGATAGTGTGTAAGGGTGTGTATGATAGTGTGTGAGTGAGTGCGAGTGTGTGTGTGTGTGTGTGTGTGTATGATAGTGTGTAAGGGTGTGTATGATAGTGTGTGAGTGAGTGCGAGTGTGTGTGTGTGTGTGTGTGTGTATGATAGTGTGTAAGGGTGTGTATGATAGTGTGTGAGTGAGTGCGAGTGTGTGTGTGTGTGTGTGTGTGTATGATAGTGTGTAAGGGTGTGTATGATAGTGTGTGAGTGTGTGTATGATAGTGTGTGAGTGTGTGTAAGTGTGTGTGTGTGTGTATGATAGTGTGTGAGTGAGTGTGAGTGTGTGTGTGTGTGTGTGTGTGCGCGTTTTTGTGACAAATGAGGACATAAATGTGTATAATGACAAAGGTATGACAGGTATTACAAGGAGAAGGTGACTTTTCAGGACATTACCCCATGTCCGTCCCCACATTTCAAAACACTTATAAATCACACAGAATGGAATGTATTGAAAATCTGAAATAGCAGAAAGTCTCCTGTGAGGGGTAGGTTTAGGGGTAGGGTTGGTGTAGGGCAATAGAATATACGGTCTGTACAGTATAAAAACCATTACACCTATGGAGAGTCCCCACTTTCACAAAAACAAACCTGTGTGTGTGTGTATGATACTGTGTGTGAGTATGTTTATGATACTGTGTGAGTGTGTGTAAGTGTGTGATAGTGTGTAAGTGTGTGTGTATGATAGTGTGTGCGTGTGTGTGAGTGTGTGTGTGATAGTGTGTGAGTGTGTGTGGTCTGCTAATATTTGTCCCCTCTAACAGATTTTGTGAAGGGAAATCAATAAAAGGCTGCAGCTCTCAGAGAAAAGCCACAATAGCCATAAACACACACTCTCTCTCTCTCTCTCTCGCTCTCTCTCTCTTCAGAAGTGTCACTTTCTCAAAAGACGCAGTAAAGCCATTTTCACCACCGCCCTGCAAACACACACACATCAGGCGGATGATGCTGAACATTTAAGACTGTATAAGATGTACTATAAAACACACACACACACACACACACACACACAGCAGCTGATTATTATACTAATGAAGTCTATAAGTTTACAATCACTGAATGTCTGGCCGCTGGTGAAGATGTAACCAGTCTGTATTCACACTTTGACTTCAGGACTGAGGGAATCACAGAGAATCACCAGAGGAATGACTGTGATACTCACTGAGGGAATTCAGGATCGTAGAGAGTCGGCTGGAGAATTCCTGCAGGAAAAACTGAAGAGAAAGAATGAGAGAGATGAGCTTACAATGATGACGGAAAGTGCAATATAAAAATATGACGCTAATTAATTATGACGCTAGTTAATGAGGTTTCATCTCTGTTTCTGTCTCACTCGCTGTCAAATTCAAATTTAAATCAGCTTTATTGGTGCAACAAACTGTAGATTGTATTGCCAAAGCATTTATACGAGCAAGAAAAAAAACAAAGAAAAGAAATGAAGAATGAACAAAGATGTAATGAAAATGAACTCTCTCTCTGACTCTATCTGTCTGTATTGATCCTCTAACAGGTGGCATTTATTTCCCAGATAATGATGAAAGCTTCTTTGTGATGTGCAGCTGGAAAACAAATGAATACATATAATAAATAACGCCTCAGTGAAGATGTACGAATGCTGAAAGGTTTGTGTGAAGAAAATATCATTAAAAACAACAGCTGTCAATGGAAAGCCCTCACCATAAGAGAAAAATACAGTAAATAAGTAGGATGATATACACTAGCGTTCAGAAATGTGGGGTTGGTACAGTTTATTCATGTTATTAAATCTCTTCTGCTCACCAAAGCTGCATTTATTTGATAAAAAATACAGTAAAAATCTGAAATATTATTACAATTGAAATGAACTGTTTTCTATTTGAATATCTGTTCTACTTTAATTTATTTCTGAGATCAGAGCTGAATTTTCAGCATCATTCCTCCAGTCTTCAGTGTCACATGATCTTCAGAAATCATTCTAATATGCTGATTTGCTGCTCAAGAAACATTTCCGATTAGAGGAATTATTCTGAAAAAATAAGGATTCAATTCTCTTCCAGTGACTCGGCATCAGTGTGGAAAAGTCTGAAAGAAATCACCACCTACAAGACACCATCCCCCAGCACTGTGGAGAATCAACACCTGGCAGACGATCTGAACGAGTTCTACTGCAGGTTTGAAAAGACACCCCACACCCGCCCTGAACACCTCTCCACACAACCACTCACACCTCCAGCAACCCCCCTCTCCCCCACACCTGCAATTCAGATCAGCGAAGACGAGGTGTGCCAGGTCTTCCGGAAGCAGAAAAGGAGAAAAGCACCAGGCCCAGACTGTGTTACCCCAGCCTGTCTGAAATCCTGTGCTGACCAGCTGGCCCCCATCTTCACACAGATCTTCAACAGATCACTGGAGCTGTGC